CATTTAAAGCTTGACAACGATGCCTTAACCACGGTCCATAATTTGTAATTGCCTGATAACCTTGTAAAACGTTATTTATGGAAACGGAGTTTTCCAACAGGATGTGAAACATTAGGAACCGTGGAAAATATAATATTTTGACTAAAAGCAAACCTGAATAAGCTTAATACCATGAAAAGAGAGAGGGTGGAGTAACTGACCAGAAAATGTGGCAAGGGCTATGACTTCAATCCATCAATGTTGGTGAAGCGAAACATTTCTGTTTGTTTAAGACCCACACCATGTCTGTTAACTGCTCCCACATTCACTAGTTTTTACTTTCACCGAGTGTTAACTGTTGGATCTCCATCTTCTCAGTAATTATATGTTCAGTTTCGAGAACCGTGTGGTTATAGTTCGATAGCAATACACACTTTTCGTTCTCATAAACAGCCTTCCATATTCTAACTTCGACTTCTCTTCCATCATTTGAACGCATTCCACTTTGTTTCATGTCACAACTCATTGTTTCCTATTACTGTATTCTCTTATCTGAAGGCTCTAACCACATTTCACTCTAGCAACAGTAGCTAGTATGGGATTTATCTATTATTATGTCATACCTTTGTCTGCTCCACCACAAAAAGCTATGCACTGTCTGGGGTTTATATACAGATGTCTTGCTGCTCCTTTGTTTATCTTTCGCTCAGCATCACGCTTTCAGTGCATAGCTACGGAGCCTACCACACCTAAAACAACTTTAACACACACGCTTTTCAAGATTTCAGCCCATACCGAGTGCCCGTTGAAGGAACATTATAACAACCATAAACGTCATAAACAGTTGCATTGCATAAATACTTACAACGACCAGAATTCTAACACAATCATGCCGAGTTTTAATTGGTGTACAATGTGAACGCGATGCCATTTTCAAAAAAAATATTTTAAATACTGTACACAGTGGAATACTAAAACATAAGCCTAGTAATTAACGCTCTAAGACATCTGCATGAATGTACAATCTTTTATTTCTATTGATTTCAATTATTTGACATTGATGATTGATAAGCATTTCATATGGAAACCAAGTTTGTAAATTATAGATCAAGCCTGTAGGAATGATGCGTATCTGTCCTGGCGGAAATATACTTTGATATTATTATATTACATTATGTGTCACATAGTAAAGTTTCCTACCTGTTCCCATCTGTTTAATACGTAGTTTCAGGGTTTTTGGAGATAACTCATACCGACGATCAATGACTTCTTTTCAAAGCTGGGTCAGTTTGGGAAGGTCGTTTGCATAGAAATTATTTAAGGATGGCATGCGAGACGAGGCATCTGTAACTACATTCTTTGCCCCAGATATGTGTTGTGTATCCGAATTAAACGGAGAAATGTCACCCAACTGTTGTGACTAATGAGGGAAGCACTTGTCTTGAGACTAGGTTGAAGAAAAGATGAGAGGTTTGCGGTCGGCAAACAGTGTGAACGCTCTGCCTTCCAGAGAGTGTTGAAGTCGTTATAGAACATAACACAAAGCTACATGTTCTCTACCGAAGATGCCACACCTCAATTTAGTGTCTTCCAGCCGTCTCGGGAAGAATGTCAAAGGTTGTCATGTGTTGTTAACCCATTGTTGTGAGACCTCTCCGTTTACCGGGTCAGATGCATCTGCTGCGATGCTTTGGCGTCCTAATGTGTGGGCATTGATACTTTTGTGATAAGTTCCTTAATTGAGGAGGATGTCTTCCTCGCGATGTTGTCCAAATTGATAAGCTTTATGTTTCCACGAAGTCAGTCTGCTGAGGGTCTCATGAGATACTCGCAATTCGATGTGAACCATCTATAGAAAACTACCAGGTCGTCCAAATTATGTACTGTGTTTACAATCAAATTGTGTCATGGAACGATGTATTCAAGTTCTCTGGATCAGCAGAAATTTCGGAGACTATTTACCTAATTATCTATGCAATGTCTTTTTTTACCTTGATCGTTTTGAATTAAAGCATTAATGTTTGGCGAATATCCATTTCGGTTTGTCGTAGGATCGTAATATATGTCTTGGTTCTCCAACGATATGTAATTATGATTATTAGAAGTATTTGAATTATAGCATGAACTAATAACCCCAGAAATAACGTAAGTGGATTAAGAAGTAGTAGATAAGCAATAACGAATGTACTGTATTTGGAATTCGAAATAAAGCATTCAACAAGTACGAAGGAATCATTATTTCATTCAAACATCACGGTTTATCATGCCTTTTTATGTTTTGAGCATCTACATTTTAGGTTAATGACAATTTATGAAAAACTAACAGAAAAATTGAACAGTACTAAAAAGAGCTGTTTGGTGTTTGAGTCGTTTGAGATATATAAAATCGATAAATAGGTCACTACTTTTCTTAATTCTCCATTTCTATTTATGAACATACACATACGTATGAGGTAAACATGTAAAGTGAATTTATATTAAGTTCTCTGAATACTATTTTGAAAAGAAGCATGTATTCATTGACACAGTCGTCGGATACTCAAAGAATATTATACATGTATTTAAGATCTAGGACATTTAAAGATCAATCATGTTGACTAGTGAAGTAATCCAGTCTAAATATACTCCTCATTTCAGCGAACGCTTGATTACGGATCTCCAAAGAGTTTATCTACAACAGAATTCTATTTCGAAACATTCTCAATTCTTACTCGTATAGTGTCCACACTCCAAAATCCAGAGAAATCACCATCCAGATAACTGACATAAAAACTGGAACCATCTGCTACATAAGTCGACGATTTCGAGCTATCGTAAAGCGAAAATATCTTTAGTGTGGCGTCAAGTCGTGGCTGACTATGATCACCACTACAAGAATACTATGTGCCAGGTAACCAATGTGATCCCCCGTAGGCCAAATATCAGAAGGCAGCTGATGGCCGTAGTCGAGATGTATTTGCTGGCGATCTTGTGGTATCGAAAGAATAGTGAGATCGTGCCAGATTACGAGTGGGGTTACTGAGCGTAACTGAATTTGTAAAAGGTCATAGTCAACAGATTTTGAATTTGAAGCTTCGTGTAATTTGTGAGATTCGTGTCGTTGGCGAGGAGCAGGGATACAGTTTCTTTTGCTAACCTTGGTTCAATTGAGGTGAATAATGCTGTTACATCGAAGGATATCATCAGTTCGTCGTTGTCGATTTGAATGTCCTTAATTTGGTCTAGGAATTGTGTAATGGATTTTGATGAAGTGGTTTGCTGAATCGACTAAATGTTTCAGTATTCGTGAAATTTTTTTGGCCAATTATATGTTGGCGTTCCGGGCAGTGCTACAATCGGACATAGTGGAATGCTCGGTTTGTGTATTTTTGGTCTGCCGCAGAATCAAGGGAGTACTGGTCGACTGAATTTCATTCTCCATTGATCTTGTTTTGTTGTTTCTCCTGCTTTGACAAGCTTGTTTAAAGTCTTTGAGATTCTGTTGTCTAATTTCTTGACGGGATTTATATACATCAGTTTGTATGTGTTCTTATCTTCAAGTATTTCTTCCACTTTTTTTGACGTATTCCTCCTTGTCCATAATTACTGTTGTGCGTCCTTCGTCCGCTGGAACTATGACAATATCCTTTCTAGTTCTAAGTTCCTTCAAAGCTTTCCGTTCTTGTGAAGATCTGGCAGTACGAAGAAAGGAAGAGAAATACCAGAAGGACGTATTTCAAAAGAATGCCTACCCAATCAACTTCATCAAAAAATACCAACCACATGCAGCATCAGAGCCCAAGTCAAGCACAGAAATCAACAAAAGGATCACCCGACCATACATAAATGGCATATCAGAAATCGCAACGAGACTGCTAAAATCTTCGGGATAGGCTTGGCGCACAAACCGACAAAATCACTACAATCAATCCTATGCAAACGAAAGGATGAAATAACAAAAGAAGATAAATCGAACGTCATCTACAAAATAAATTGTGCCAACTGCGACAAACGCTACATTGGACAAAGCGGACGACTCCTTCACTTTCGCCTACATGAACATCAATTAGCAGTCAAACGTCATGATATCTCCTCACTTATATCAATACACGTCGACAACTGAGAACACTCATTCAATTGGGAAAATGTGGAAATCTTGGACAGAGGAAATTCCAAAAACATCAGAGAATTTTTAGAAGCCTGGCACTCAGGTCAATCAGCAATCAACGAACACATTTAAATCGATCTAATTTATCAGCCAATCAGGAAAATTATGCAAAAATATAGGAACAAGAATCAAACCAATAGGAGACGCAACCAAAACAAAGAAGTAAACAATGGCAAATTTAAGGTCAATAAGAACCAATCAACATTGAGGTGCACAGAATAAACTGTGAAACGCATATGGAGAAATTCGAACACTTTACTTCTGTCTGAAGTTTGTGCTGATGTCGTTCAGAAGAACGATCAAAGCTCCACGACCAAACCATCCAGCTCAGAGGACAAAACTCCATCAAAATCATCCATCTGAGCTACAAATCTTCTCTACCATCTCAAGAAAGAATGTCTTTCGTACACTTGAATAAACAAATACAGTAAAACAATCACCGGTACAATTGGTTATAATAGTAATTCTTTCCATTACACCAATAGCCTTCTGTTGATAAAGTAGGTCACTACACATTCAACAAAATATATCAAGAAACCAACACTTCCTTGAAACGAACCACGTATCAGGTGATCCTGTATCGAATAATACTTGTAGATTTTGAGGTGGACTTCATACTGATACATTATCTCAATGTTGATACACATTAGAATCTGTTCCCATCATATAATGATTCATAGAATAAAAGTGTGTTTCCACTGTAATTCGAACCATGTTCATGGTGATAATGACGCACATTAAACAAGTATCGAATTACCACTAGTAATCAGGTTTGTTTATAGTCAATCCTCTAGTTAATTTGATACATTTGTGTCAATAAAACATGATGAAAACAAAATAAAAACAACATAAACATCACTACGTTTCAGCGTACTCAAACAGATTTCAATGATTCTACTCATAATTGTCGCTTTCTTACCATATATACTTGGTGAGATTGTGAGAATTCCTCTCCACCCTTTGAAACGATCTGATTCGTTGCTGGGACTTCGTACGAGTTACTTTAAGCCTTCGACGAGAAAATCGAATTATGAATGGAGTAAACAGAATACATCTACACCGGAACAATTGATTAATTATGCAAACGTAAGTGTATCAACCATGTATCAATCATAACAAAATATCATGACCAGAAGTGCATATTATATGAAAGTTATTTCAAATTAAAAGAATTTCTTAAAGTAAACAAATTAATAATTATTTCCATGTCACACTGTCTAAATTTTGAGTGAGAAATAATCATTTAATTTAGTTTCAGTATTATGGTGAGATATCAGTGGGAACTCCACCTCAAAAGCTACGAGTATTATTCGATACAGGATCAACTGATACGTGGTTCGCTTCAAGAAAGTGTTGGTTTCTTGATATATTTTGTTGGATGTTTTCATTTTACGACAACTCAAAATCATCCACTTACAGACCAAACGGTTCCATTTATGAAGTCCATTATTTAGACAGTGTGTACTCTGGATTTTGGAGTATGGACACTATACGAGTAAGGATTGAGAATGTTTCGAAATAAAATTCTGTTGTAGATAAACTCTTTGGAGATCCGTAATCAAGCGTTCGCTGAAATGAGGAGTATTTATAATGTCGATTACTTATCTGATAAATATGATGGAATAATTGGCATGTCGAGTAGACGGATATCGAAATATGGCAATATCCCAGTATTCCCAAATATACTTCAGAATTTTCCGGATATGGACCCAATATTTTCATTTTATTTAAATCAGTGAGTTGTGCTATAAATCGAGTTAGACTCGTATATGTGAAATTCAGTTTTTGTTTAACTTAATTATTCGGTTTTGAATATCACTCAACTGAGAATAACTTAGTGATAATCTATTTCATTTGGTATTTGGTTGACAATGGTTGATCTCAGTAACTATGCATTTTGAACCAATCAAGTTGTTTGAAATACAAGTAGTACATAATTACTAAGGACACCAAGTTCTTTTGAAGATATATTTCGTGAAAGTTAGCTGGGATGATGGAAGTTATTTAGAAGCAATCAAATGGAAACACTGAGATACAGCCTTACTCTGTTTGAATTTCATCAGTTTGTGATTATATCAATTTTAATTGTTGCCATGAAACCAAACAAATTCGTCTTGTGTGTATTGCTAGTTATTTGATGGTGATGTTTCAATTCATCTGCTCAATATGTTGACTGTAGGTTCATATTTCCACATCAGGTTACGATTTACTAAAAGAAGTGTGCTTAATGTCAGTGATAACATTAAATTATATTGTCTTCGCTCACTTAACAATGATTCTGATGCAAAAGTGGATCGATGTATTTAGATGAGCGATAGACAAAATATACCTTCCCATGGACGATAGAAGTATTGTATTTGTCGACTGTACATTTAAATGTGACTAGTATTCTCTCATTTGATTTTTATCCCGTCAATATCTATTCACGTCGTCATATTTTATGCATCCGTATGAGTACACCATGTGTTGTAAATCGTTTTGTTCCAGTTTTATTTGAAATGTATTCTTTTAAGAAAAATTATTCAGTCATCATTGATCTTTTCATAAATAATGCATGAGTGCATCCGAAGTTTACAAAACTAATTTCTTAGTTTTTATGAAAACGTACATTCTGTGAATTTTTGTGAAAGAAGCTATGTCGATCGAATCTGTGAAAGTTAAATAAGGACATTTCATAAATAGTACTCAATATTTTATGGTTTAATGAACTACTATTTCAGACATTCATTGTTTTAGTTCAAAACGATTGGTAATAATGCTTTTCAGGTATCATGTTTGTGTATTCATCAACAAGCACTCCTATTTCTTTCTGTGTTTGTGTTTTACTTGGTGAATTTTGTTACCGTTTACATGGATAGCGTAAATCGACACTATAAAATGAGTATAATTTACATGCCGAACAGTCATGAAACAGGGTGATTATACACTTTGACTTATTCATGTATTAAGTGATACTGTGACAACATTGATGATTTCAGCTGGTGTGACGTTTCATAGTAATGTATTTTTACAGTGGAAATGGTATGAATGATAATAAAATGGATTTATTACTTCGTTGTAGGGAAAATGGGACTTCGATCGGTGGTGAAATGGTACTTGGAGGTGTTAATCCTGAATATTTTAAGGGCGATTTCGAATATATGCCAACCGTTCTAAACAATATATGGGCAGTTAGAATGTCGAGGTAGTGTTTGATCAAGTTCAATAAGATATGTAAATTTCAATTGCTTACGGAAAGTGCGAATTAGCTTGTTGGAAAGTTTGTTTGGCGGAGTAAAGTTATATATTGTTTTGTTTGTTTAAATGAGGCGAAGCCGGAAAACTGATATTTTTTTAACGGTTTTACGTATTTGCATAACTGAAGAACATCCGATTTCGAAACTCTTGAGAGATTGTTTATTGATGGACAATATGTATATGTATTTGAATATTGATTTACGAGAAGTGTTTATAACAGAGCTAACCTCGTGAGTAGGTCTCCATGGTATAATACTGAAAGATAAAATTCATGTTTCCTATTGAGTACTCTCATGATGAACGTAGTGCGTGGTCTGAGTACTTGGGAGTTAATGAAAATCAACGGGCTTCTTCATCAACCTATTGCAATAAATCAACATAATTTTTTTTGGTAATTTATGAAAGGTAAATAGATCGCGTTCATCAAGCTTTATAAAACGAATGCCGTAAAATGTGACTTGACATCGAATTGACTAATTTTTCTGATGTCACTATAGAGAATTTTTGTGGTGATCCAGGTAGTAAGGTGAACTTCTGAAATCTAGAAAGATTTCGTTTTGCTCACCAACTGGAACGCACATCAGTTATATATACTGAGCCAATCAAGTGATCACTTTCTATTCAGCGATCATATTTCCAACAGAGTTATTAATCTGAACAGTGCTTCGTATTACGGTTACCATTATACTTGTTAACAAGTTGCAATTCCTATTTCCGACACAACTTCAGTTATTTGGCAAGCTCACAGGTAAACGTGTTTCAAATGATACTGTGTGAAGCGTTGTCAACTTCTTACTTGAAACGAAAGAACACAGTCACCTTAAAAGGGAAATGTGTGTGCTCAATCTGTCAGTGAGTTCAAACTATGACGATGATATTGCAGTTCATTACGCTAGCTACATGAAAGTATTGTAATTGAAGATATAATTATTAAGTGAAGATTACTGTTGCATGAGTAATACACCGAGTAGTTTATAAATAATTCGATTCATTATTTAGTCTGCTGTTTCGCAAGAAAATTTACAAAGCGGTTACATTTATTCAACTTTTCTACTGTGTATTTTGCCCCTTTCATATTTCCTCTTGTTTACAACTGTTATTTTGCAACTACATTAGGAAACGTTATTTGCTTCTGGAATGAATTGTGCTTGTTTGTTAGCTCACCCTCGATGTTGTTCACGTGCATCGCTAGAATATCACATTCGAAGTGTGATTTTGCTCAGAATTTCTAACAAGTTAACAAGTATTTAAGAATTTCATGCAACAAATTGCTAGTGTTGATTCCGTTTTTAAAATGTCAATTCAGTTCTTCACATATACATTATTGTTCCTTAGTTATGTTATTGTGTAGTAGTAAGTAGTTCATCTTATCAACGAACATTTTCGAACGCGTTTCTCAAAGAATCGGTTTATTGGTTCGTGCGATATACCTAAATATTTACAGGTATGCTAGGCATTTCATCCATTTTATTACTATAGTTGTATTTCTCTACCATTCTCAGTTATTTTTATCTATTTCACGTGTGGCTCAATGTAATTTAATTTATTTTCAACAATTTCCAAATTTAGTGTTGACTAGCTCTCGGTTCATTTTTCGATGAATGACGTTATTCTGATTTGTCAGAGGTTATTGATTCTACCTAGTTGATCACTTAATATGCATATTGTTTCTTGTTTGGGTGTTCAGAGGACTCAACTTAACTTTGATTGTGGTATGAGCGGCCGCTCATACCTTGAAGTCCTCACGATTTGACGTTCGTAAATACTATTTTCGTGTTGTCGTAACGTATTTAACAGATAAATATCTTGTTTTGATTTTGGAATTTCACACGTGACTCACTTGTTTGGTGAGAACTTAACAGTTACACTGCCTTGAATGCGGATCTTATTAGGAATGTCAACACCAAAAAATAGACTCGTTTAACGAACTGTATTAAGAATGAAATGCATGACCATTATTAGTCGCTAAACAAAGTTAATTTAAAAAGTGTTTCAATAACCTGATTCAGTGTTCGTTTATTAAAACAAACTAATTTTGTTTATTTTTTGGATAGTTCTACATCTTGTTTTTCTAAAAATGTTCTGATCTGCATTCAGTTTGATAATAAAGGATATTGAATTTTGTAATGGATGTACTGCTTTGATTGATACTGGGACATCAGTGATTCTTGGTGGAAGAGAGCAAGTGACAAGAATCAACTCAATGCTTGGTATTTCTTATCATTTTGGTGGAAGAAATGTCCTTGACTGTAAACGAATCGACATGCTGCCTCCGATCGAGTTTATCTTTCGTAAAAAGAAGTACATATTGAAACCACAAGATTATGTTATTAAGGTGAATGACCTCTTTGGAACAGTTTAGTTATATATTGTGTATTCAGTATGTTCACTTCCACCATTTACAAGTCAGTTCGACGTAAACAAAACTTGCAAAATACAGAGTAATATAATGACTTCAGTTAATCTTATTATGTAATTACAGAAGGTGCAACAAATGAATGAGAACTACAAAAATTCTCTCTAGAATGCACACATGTTGGAGGCTTCAACAATAATATCATTGTTTACAACGAATATGATATTTTCTGTACTAACAAACAATTCTTGTAAGATGTAAAATTTACTAGTCGAACCGCTTCTCATAAATTTAATTTTTCTGATAGCGAACGATCACCAGATATTTGAAATTTGTTAACTGTTAAGGACATCCAATGTTCTGATTAAAATCGTGCTGGTAAATTTAGCTTTCAGGGTATACTGTGTTATTATAAGTTGTAATTGAGAAGGCAGTAAGAGAGAGTTCACTACTTAATAAGAGTTTCTTTTCTTTGCAATGGGAAATGCAAAACTGTTTACCAATCGAAGTACTTTCCTAGGTTTATAACTGATCCTAGAAGATTTCACTAAATAACCCAATATGAACTACTGTTGTGGTAGAAAATATGAACTACACATTTTCAAACTCACAGATAAATTATACCGTTCTATAAATGTGTAAGCAAATAACAGAAGAGAACAATAAGCATCTAATCTTTAATCCTTTTTAAAAATACTATTTTAACTAATAAGAACAAAACAATCTACTTGTGTATTGTTGTCTTCCTCATTTGATTACAGGAATACTTTTGGTTTGTAACACTGTGTTCGTCACCATTTGACATTGATGATTCTTTACCACCGAATGTTTGGATTCTTGGTGACGTTTTTATGAGAAATTTCTATACCGTATTTGATTTCGGTCAGAAACGTATTGGATTGACTTATGTTTTAAATAAGAAGAATGAAAAGAGAATTTAAGTAAACAGTAATATATTGCTAAAATATAGAAATTACAATTGTATGTGCAACAGTGAATGAAATATAAATACAAAATTTATAGCAAATTTGAACTCAATAAATTATTCAAAGATTCCTCATACTGAAAATTTTTCCTAGTATCTACTTAACTTACAATATTATTATTATCATTATTATTATGAGCTTTATTCAATATTATATTTTTGGTACAATATAGAATTCTCAATAAAAAGTACTTCAACTAGTTTCCGTTTCTTACTTTACGGTAGATCCTGACGATAAATATTGAATGATTGTCAGTTAGAAGTTAGCAGTCCAATTAATAGACATCTAAATAATGTACATTATTTTCACTGCATATTGCCAGCAACCACGTTATCTCTCATTGGGCCTTTTGTATTTCGTACAACGAAAGGTTCTACACTTTTCAGAAACACACGTTCATAGGTTAACCGATTAACAGACAATATGATGTGTTAAAACAAATAAAAAACTGGTAACTGGTTGGAATATCTAGATGGCAGGAACAGATAGCCCAGATATCCAAACAGATAATCAAACTTATATGTTCAAACACCTGTAGCTTTAATTCATTAGTTAAACGACTTACTGAAATAATTTATTAAAATAGTTTAATAGAAAATAATTTACTCTATCAAACAAACATATCTAATAGTTGGCACATGATTAAAACTGATGTAGCTGCTTTATTTTATTAATTTAAAGTTATATGCAATAAATGAAATTGAAATAATAATTCAGTTTGTGGGGCCCTTTGTTGTTACTTAGATCGGAAGATGTTCGTCGAAGGGCTCTACACTTTATTGGCCCGTGATCTGACTCCAATTTAATCGTACGAATGTTTGTCATCACCTATCCTCTATATAATCATCGAATTAAATCGCGTTAGTCAATAACGGAATTAAATAAGTCAAATAACGAGAATGGACTTTTGGATATATATATTTTGTACATGAAGCGAATGGAACAGAGAGAAGAGGAACGACGCGCAATGGAGATGGCGGGTAAGCCAACTCCCCATTTAGTCACGAGTTAATCAATATTTATGGACACACAAAAATAAGTCACAGACATGTGATGAGTAATGGGATAAGAAGTGTGCACACACCTACGCGCTCATATAAAACCTGTCAAGATTGATAAGCGAATAACTAACAAGGTCAAAATATGACTCAAGTAGAATGAGTAGATTGGCCTGTTCGAAAGCCAGAATAAGGTATAAGGGCTTAACATAATAACCGACACTACAGGTTTCAATATGTGATGCGAACATTTCGCGATGAATGGATTTTAACAAATCAAGTTTCAATAATGCACAATTTGAAGGCAACTACATTATTTATGTAAGAGATGCAATATGGGCATCAAGATAAATTAGGCGATCACTTAGGTAACACACTGATGTTTCGATAATGTAATAAGAAGACGGAGATTATCAGAACTATGTGATATATTAGCGCAATACATTTCGATTGAAAACATGTCACTTTATAAGAGATATTTGGACGATATCCTAGTTGTTTGTGAAAGAAAAGAGGATATGTACCGTTTATTAAATAAATTCAACACCCTCCAAAACCATATCAGTCTCTCATGTGAAGAGGAGAAGAACGATGAGCTCCCCTTCCTAGATATACTTCTGAGTAGACGAGATGGCTCAGTCAAGCGATCGATTTTTAGAAAACCAACGTGGACAGGTCAATACCTTAGTTATTATAGTTATTGCCCTGTGCAATACAAACGTGGTTTGATAAGGTGTCTTTTCAACAGGCTTGATCGCATTTGTACAAATGACGCCATTGATGATGATGATGTTAAGTTGTTAAACAAAACATTAATAGAAAATGGTTACCCCCTGAAATTCATAAATAGATGGAAAGTCCACGGTACAGTGAGACCTACTGTAGCCTCGGTGGAAAAAAAGCCTGTCTACGTCACCTTACCATTCAGAGGTGATTCAAATAGTCTCTTATTGAAACAAAGACTTAAATCAGTCATCAGCAAAGCGTACTGCGCAGCAAAGGTCATTGTCAAAGAAAGAACAAGGTGCATGTTTCATTCAAAACCTCAAAGACATGAAAACGATTGTCACATCCCACTGTGTTTACCAATTTAAATGTGTGTGTGGTCACACATACATAGGGAGGAGCAATCGTAATCTTAACATTGGGGTGAGTGAACATGTACCCAAATGGCTGCAAAAACAAATACAATCAAGTGACCCAATAAGAGCAGAGGATAAACATCCATCATCCTCTATTGCTAAACATATAATTGAAACAGGGCACAAGATTGATCTAAACTCGATTTTTGTAGTATTATATAAAAGTGTACAAGGGCGTATACTAAGGTTTATTGAAGCCTTAGCCATACGAAAATTCAAACCCCCTTTGTGTATTCAAAAACAGTTTGTTCTTACCTTAAACCTACCCTGGTAATATTGACTTATTATCCAGAGTGATTAGGTTTTGAATAGTGTTCAGATTATTATTATTATTATTATTATTATTATTATTATTATTATTATTATTATCCTTATCTCCTCTTACCTCATTTCCAGTCTAGTTGACCTTTATTTTTATTATCAGAAGGGGTTTTGTGGAGATTGTAGTAATTTCAATGATTAAGATCATGGGTCAGTTGAAGCTAGACCACCATGGAAAACCTGGAAGCACTGGACGGCCGTTTCGTCCTATTATGGGACTCCTCAGCAGTGCGCATCCACGACCTCGCCCCCTGCGAGATTCGAACCCAGGACCTACTGGTTTCGCGCGCGAGCACTTAACCACATTAACACCGTTAGATGCCGGCTCAGTGGTCTAGTGGTTAGGTGCTCGCGCGCGAAACCAGTAGGTCCTGGGTTCGAATCTCGCAGGGGGCGAGGTCGTGGATGCGCACTGCTGAGGAGTCCCATAGTAGGACGAAACGGCCGTCCAGCGCTTTATTTTTATATATAAATGCTCTTAACAAGTATATGTGTGATCAGATTGTTCGAAATGTATTGCGCTAATATATCACATAGTTCTGAAAATCTCCGTCTTCTTATTACATTATCGAAATTTATAAAAGGGACTAATTGCTTTAAATTTCTTAAAAGAACACTGATGTTTGTTTATTCATATTTGAAATTCATGATTCATATTAATCAAAATCTGAAGGAATGGTCATAAATATTTAAAAATAAGCAATTGTTTGACATGTATTTCAAAAAAAGTACTCATGTAATTATGAGTAAAAGTTTTGTAACCAGTATGAAATGTTTATTTGGTTATAAGTGATGTATAACTGTTATTTAATTAATTGGAACCCATCTAACATAAAGAATTTTGATCGAATATGAAATATCACATCTCTACATATGAATGTATCGTTATTTCAGACTTTTCGATTGTTTAATAGTATAAAATTTTACATCTTACAAGTTCTATTCAAGCGCCATAAGATATAAGTTGAAATGAAACATGGAATAAATTTCTTTATTGATCATATGTAGTTGAAATGAAAATTTTACAATTATACAAATTGATTTATGAGTTATTATGATGAGTGTAATTTAGAAAAGAAATTCAATGCATTTCGTTACTATGTAAAGTAAAATGAACCTGCATCTCATTCAAATGAAACTAGGATAAATTGTTGACTAATTCATTTCAACTAAAAAGGGACGATAAAAACCCTTATTATATAGAAAAAAGTCCAAGAAACTACATATTTAATTCTTTATATTTAAAAATATCCTTTTACAATCTATCTACCAGTTAATGCTACTGATGTATGAATATGGTGTTATTGAAGAGAAGCAATAGTTTTGTACTATAGAATGTAGAAATGAAATTCAGAAATATATTAGTTAATACAATATAGAACACCATGTATATTTATAATTCACTATTCAACATACAGTCACTCACAAATTCGGGTGAACGTAACAGACAAAGTTGATTTTGTTTCTAAGGCTATATGTTAAATGTATAAACATAAATATTCAATGAATAGATTAGTTATTCATTGAAACTGAAGGAGATAATTACATTGTAAATCTGTAAATTCATTTATTGTTATGGGAGGTGGACTGATATTTAAGTTATGCGTGTGCTTTTCATTTCCCGTTACTACATATTCTGATCATTTGTAAGCAGTATTGTTTTGATGAGAAAGCTTTACAGAAAACCTACTCTCTCCTCATTAAAATATGTGCGGAACCGAAAAAGCCAGTAATTTTTGAAAACAATTTTTGTTCTTTTCCAAGAGTAATTAGTTCGTGATATAAACGATAGTATTATTTGTTGTATCTCCTTATTGACTCTTGTGATATACCTTAGTATTTACACGTGTTACAGACATTAAATCCATTTTATTACTGTATTAGTATTCCTTCAACGTTTTTAGTAGTTTGTTCACGTATCAAGTGTTGTTCATTGTAAGTTCGTTTGTTCTCAATAACTTCCATATTTGATGTTGATCAGTTTCGTTAACTGACATTACTGATTTCATATAGTTCTTTGTTATGAATTAATTGACCACTCATTTGTAAATGATTGCGGATCTAAGTGTGTAGAGGATGTGAATACTTGTTTGTTGTGCCATGAGATATTTTAAATATCATTAAAGCATCAAAAGTCGAAAATCAGAAACTTCATTGTTTAAATTTCTCTTCTAATCATAGCAACGTACTTTGCTGATAAGTCTCTTCTTTATATTTTGAGATTTCTCGCATCAACGGGTTATTTTGTGAGAATTCAATTGTTAACCTGACTGAAATACGAATGTCAGGGAAAGCATCAATAAAATCAAGGATATGAATTCAACTAACAGGTTGTAATAAATATAAAATGCATCTGTAACATTATTTACTGTTTAATAAGTGTCACAAACTAGTGTTTCACTAGTCTCATTCAGTTTTTATTTGCTAAGTAAACTGTTTATTATATCTCATTCTATTCGATTTTACAACTAACTTTATTGTCATCCTGTTTATTTAGTTTTGTACTTATTTAAAATGTGCTCTCTATTAAAAATAATTGATAAAATATCTTGTCGCACATTGATCTTGAATTCTGTATCACATATTTACTAGTTAACTGTAAAGAATGATTAACTGACGCTTACTGGTTTCATAAGCAACAAATCCCCACAGGTAGATGAAATGTACACTGCGTCAACACAACATAGAATCGTAGTAACTGTGGTCAGCTGTTACTTTTCAGGCGCAAACAATGTCATATACAGTGGTTAACATTTTCTGGTAGTTACACAGTCATCACATTACAAATGAATGGACGTGTTTATTGGATCAGTTACATTTAAGGAATGTATCAGATGATCTAAGCCGAAGGAAAACAAATACAACTTAAATTGATGAATTTATTTGTTTTTGTGCTAAATGTACGATAGTAAATTATACATGTAACTGTCAGTCGCTAAGGCTTAGCAACTGATGTCAATATTTGTAAATGTAGTTCCCAATCTTAGTTAAAACAAATAAACAGTTACAATATATAGATAGTTGATCAAATGATGCCTAACTGCAAATAGAACTTACACAACCTCTTTTATTCTTACTAATATAAAAATGTTTGCATGAGCACGCACAAAGCTTTATAAATCACGATGTCTTTAAACGAACAAGAAATTTTGTAACGCGTCGGCTGGTGTCCCCGTCCTTTTTGACTTAGCCAATGCTGTTTTAAACGTATCCACAAACATTTGCGCTTGCCCATTTGACTGAGGGTGGTATGGTGGCGAACGTAAGTTCTTGATGGCTAGCCGTTGACAGAAAGCTTGGAATTGGCTAATAGTAAGTTGTGATACGTTTTCAGATACAATCACATCTGGTATGCAATTTCGGGAGAAAATTCCAGTGAGGAACTGTATTGTTTTAGTTGTCGTGGGCAGCTTCGAACACAATGCCATGCACCACAGTGTCAGCATGAGGCAGGAGGATTTGTTTTTGCCTGTTGACCTGAACTAGGTGTAGCTGGTGCAGATTTATGCGGGTCGGGTGGTTGTTGAACCACATGAACTTCGGCACGATCAGAACCACCACGCTGGATCATCGTAGTGTCATGTCGCAGATTCATTAGACGTTGATATTCCTTTGCAATATCAGCGAGTGTCAGTTTGGAGTCTTGGTCTAGTCGACTAAGCAGCCGTGTTCTGATGTCACTAAACTTCTGCAAATGGAGACTGCAGATTAGAATAAGGGCTTTGAATTGATCTTCAGTCAGAGACTTCAACTGGAAGCGTTCGCATTTGCGGTTGACGATACCCACATGAGTGAGAAACTCAGTGTGTTCGTTAATAGTCAGCTCCAAACATTGATAACGTGCGTTGAAGTGTTATCTGAAAACTGTTGGCTCAATGACTGAACGGTGTCCGAGAATGGGCGGTCACATGGGTTTAGAGGCAGAATTAATTTACAATATCTATCTAATTCACTAGGGCCCAGTTTTCGAAGCAGCAAGCGAACTTTCCAAGCATCATCGTGATTAGCGAAGTCAAGCTTGAATAAGTCTTCATAACGTTGAAACCACATATCAAATGTGACTTTGGAATCAGGATCATAATAAAACTCGGACATACTACTCGCAATACCATGAATTGACAGTGCAGTATTAGTAGTAGTATTAGAAGTACTTAGTTGCGTGTTAGGCGTAAGCTTTGCATCTGCTAGCGTCTGCATTAGTTTTAGCTGCTGCTAGAGCAATAATTCTACTTTTGAAGGATCCATGTTTGCGCCAACTCCGTCACCCAATTTCCTAGGTTTGAAGCGATAACGAGTTCACCGAGACTGCGAACAGAACAAAATCTTGTGACCAAAGACCAACAAACTAGCTAATATGCTGCGTACCAGCCCCGCTAACTAGAGAGAGAAGTCGAAGTCCGAACGAAGAAGTATATTCCTCGAAATTCCAGAAGTAAATGACAGAGACAAACGCATTCATCTGATCAAGTAGACTATGTAGCTTGAAGAAGTAAATCATGTTAACGAACACCCTGAAGCGAGTTTAGAAAGATGTTTCGCACCTTAAAACTCCACCTATTCGTGTCTCTTTCATGATCATTTTCATATTCGACTTTACGATTTAATGCAAGCTAACATAAAATGTAATGTTAGGGCTAGGAGGCATTTTTCAGCAAATTTGTAAAAATTTTCTATTGATCAACTGTTGTTTTCATGAAATGATAAGGCGCACAATGGAAATGATTACTCTGAAATTTAAGAAGTAATTAAAACGAACCATTCATACAAGATAAACAAGAATCAGATTACCACAAATAAACAACTTAATTTGCAATATATTGATCAGGTTGGTTGAAGATGTTTGTGTCAATAATGACATAAAGAAATAAAACCAGAGCAACAAAAACACCATTGTCTACCAGACTATGAATGAAAATTCGTTGAGTCTACTCACAATTCTCACGTTTCGACCACATTTACATAGTACTAGATGCAAAGACGCGCTTCACGATTCAGAGTTCGCAACAGTTGCTTTATGTCTTCGATGCGAAATTGAGTGAATGAGTGGAAGCATAAAAGTATATAAACAACGAAATAACTGGTTAATTTTTAAAAATGTACGTGTTACAGTCAGATTGTTAGTCTCAAACATGCTTCCCTACGAGTAATATGCGTTCATCTCATGCTAAGTAGATGCCACTCGTTAGTATGTGCATGAAATAAACTAAGTGGATGTTTCCCACAGATGTAACTATGACACAATGATAATGTGTGTTTAGAAATATGAGTAGGATAGAATATATTTTACTGGTTGCCCATCAACTGAAGCTCTGTCAAATACTGGTGAAGATTGTAGACATTAAAACCAATTATGGAAATAAAAACATATTCCGATCAACTACGATTCGTAACGGAAGAATGACTTCATATTTAGTGTTAGATATAAAAAACAAATCGATTGCTCTGACACTATGTCATAATATCTGATGTTCATAATTCAATTATCCTTCTGTTGAAATTTAATATTGTGGTGATATATCAGTGAAAACTTCACCTCAAAATCTGCAAGTACTGTTAGATACAGGATCACCTGATACGTGATTCGTTTCAAGGAAGTGTTGGTTTCTTGATATATTTTGTTGGATGTTTTCGTTTTACGATAGCTCGAAATCGTCAACTTATGTAGCAGATGGTTCCAGTTTTCATGTCAGTTATCTGGATGGTGATTTCTCTGGATTTTGCAGTGTGGACACGATAAATTTCTTCAGGGATCTGCGTTCTAGTAAAGCGTTTATTCGTGAGCATCTTTTCTCTTACACGGTGATTAACCTCAGGATCCTATACTTCAATCGTTTGATTGAACGTATGATTGAATTATTTTGTCTATATGTTTGTAAATAATGAAGATATTGAGAATGTCTGAATACATTTGGAGAAAACAACGACAGAATAATTCAATCATACGTTCAATCAAACGATTGAAGTATAGGATCCTGAGGTTAATCACCGTGTAAGAGAAAAGATGCTCACGAATAAACGCTTTACTAGAACGCAGATCCCTGAAGAAATTTATCGTGTCCACACTGCAAAATCCAGAGAAATCACCATCCAGATAACTGACATGAAAACTGGAACCATCTGCTACATAAGTTGACGATTTCGAGCTATCGTAAAACGAAAACATCCAACAAAATATATCAAGAAACCAACACTTCCTTGAAACGAATCACGTATCAGGTGATCCTGTATCGAATAATACTTGTAGATTTTGAGGTGGACTTCATACTGATACATTATCACAATGTTGATACACATTAGAATCTGTTCCCATCATATAATGATTCACAGAATAAAAGTGTGTTTCCACTGTAATTCGAACCATGTTCATGGTGATAATGACGCACATTAAACAAGTATCGAATTACCACTAGCAATCAGGTTTGTTTATAGTCAATCCTCTAGTTAATTTGATACATTTGTGTCAATAAAACATGATGAAAACAAAATAAAAACAACATAAACATCACTACGTTTCAGCGTACTCAAACAGATTTCAATGATTCTACTCATAATTGTCGCTTTCTTACCATATATACTTGGTGAGATTGTGAGAATTCCTCTCCACCCTTTGAAACGATCTGATTCGTTGCTGGGACTTCGTACGAGTTACTTTAAGCCTTCGACGAGAAAATCGAACTATGAATGGAGTAAACAGAATACATCTACACCGGAACAATTGATTAATTATGCAAACGTAAGTGTATCAACCATGTATCAATCATAACAAAATATCATGACCAGAAGTGCATATTATATGAAAGTTATTTCAAATTAAAAGAATTTCTTAAAGTAAACAAATTAATAATTATTTCCATGTCACACTGTCTAAATTTTGAGTGAGAAATAATCATTTAATTTAGCTTCAGTATTATGGTGAGATATCAGTGGGAACTCCACCTCAAAAGCTACGAGTATTATTCGATACAGGATCAACTGATACGTGGTTCGCTTCAAGAAAGTGTTGGTTTCTTGATATATTTTGTTGGATGTTTTCGTTTTACGATAGCTCGAAATCGTCGACTTATGTAGCAGATGGTTCCAGTTTTTATGTCAGTTATCTGGATGGTGATTTCTCTGGATTTTGGAGTGTGGACACTATACGAGTAAGAATTGAGAATGTTTCGAAATAGAATTCTGTTGTAGATAAACTCTTTGGAGATCCGTAATCAAGCGTTCGCTGAAATGAGGAGTATATTTAGACTGGATTACTTCACTAGTCAATATGATGGAATAATTGGCATGTCGACTAGGCGAATATCGCTAGATGGAAATATTCCAATGTTTCCGAATATACTGGCTAATGGTGTGAATATGGACCCAATATTCTCATTTTATTTAAATCGGTGAGTTTATAATACAAATTGTGATATATTTGTAAGCACTTTTGTATGTGATTCATTTTCGTAGTCATTGAATCTGTTGTACACACTAGCCTATTCGATATACATATGCTATGAGATTATTATCTAACTCAATATTTAAAGAATATATATCAGATTCCGGGATGTATTCGAAGTAAACTCTTGCAAAATAGTTAATATTTTTGAGCTTATGTATTTGAATTTCATGAGACGTGTATGTATGACTCGATAGCTCGATGTTGTTGATCATCTCCATCTTATTCTTACACTTCGTGTACTTTTTAAGACAGATCTTATGAGAGTTTTCCTTGGAGAAAGAGAAGTATACCACCAACAAATTATTCATACATTGATCAGGTCTGAAATAATTCATGGCAATGGCCGCTAGAATTTATAATGAAACAGAAGTTTATTGTTTAGTAATTGATCTTTAAGTGTCCTAGATCTTAAATACATGTATAATATTCTTTGAGTATCCGACGACTGTGTCAATGAATACATGCTTCTTTTCAAAATAGTATTCAGAGAACTTAATATAAATTCACTTTACATGTTTACCTCATACGTATGTGTATGTTCATAAATAGAAATGGAGAATTAAGAAAAGTAGTGACCTATTTATCGATTTTATATATCTCAAACGACTCAAATACCAAACAGCTCTTTTGTAGTACTGTTCAATTTTTCTGTTAGTTTTTCATAAATTGTCATTAACCTAAAATGTAGATGCTCAAAACATAAAAATTAATGGTAAACACAATTAATATAGAATTGTTTATTCGAAGGGAGTATGGCACTATTACTCGGTCGGTGTATAGAATATCAACCTGGACGGGACAATACTTAAATTTCCATAGTTGCTGTTCATTGCAATAGAAGTGAGTCTTGGTTAAGTGTCTCTTTACGTGGACCGACACGGTGGAAAAAGATGAAGAGTTACTGACTGACACAATATTAGCAAATGGTTATCCACTAAAGTTTAATAATAGTTCGAAGGAAAAAAAGTTTATATCCATCTACCATATAGAGGTGAATCCAACAGTATAGTTTTAAGACAGAGATTGAAAGCAGCCATCGAGAAAACCTATTATACTTATCAATTGGTTGTGATTGAAAAGTCTAAGCCCATGATTCCAAATAGGCCTAGACAATGCACTAATCATCACGTCATATCCCATTGTATTTACCAATTTACATGTTTGTGTGGACACACATACATAAGGAGGAGTAATCGAACAATACAATCAAGGGTCATTCAACATGTGCCTAGATGGCTTCAAAATCAATGTGTGTCAAATGATTCGATCAACGTGGGAGGTAAAAAACCAGCTTCATCAGTAGCGAAACACAGAATTGAAACGGGGCACAAAATTGACATTAATACAGCTTTTAGAACGTTGTATGGGAGTTGTCAAGGACGAATTCTTAAGTTTATTGAAGCATTGGCTGTTCGTTAATTTGAACCCCCCTTATGTGTGCAAAAACAATTTGTCGTAACCTTGAATTTACCTTGGTAATCCTTAAGTCATTCTGTGGCCTAGGATAACGCGACAATTTCTTATTCTTTCTATACGATGTAAAATTGTTTCTCTTCCCTTTGTTACTGTCATACTTGAACATGCAGGAACAGGTCAGAGGTTAATTGGTGTTAGAAATAAAGAAACAATTCAGGATGAGTGGTGTAATAGTTTAGTGGAGCTCATAAATTGTGTGATAATTTTAGAGGTAATGAAGGACTCATGGAATAAAACAGTGATAAGATAGGTTACGTAATAATTGAATAGAATTTGAAAATTTAACATAATTTAGGAGGATCAGTGGGCGGAAATGTGTGAATGAAAAGTTGGTTTAAGAATTCGGTAATGGGGGAGAAATATAATAAAAAATAAATAATTTAAAAATAAATAAGTGAATAAAATAACCCAAATAACCAAAAAAAAGCCCTGACAAGTATATGTGTGACCAGATTGTTCGAAATGTCTAACACAAATACATCACATTTTTCAGATCAACTCCATCTTCTCATTGTTCTATCGAAATTTATAAAAGGGACTAATTGCTTTAAATATTTCCTTTACTTCTGATTTTTTAATTTCAACTAATTATAACAGGTTAAGCAATGAAAGTATGTCAAATATTTGCTTCGTAAAGAAACATTGTTTCATAAACCTAAAGATGTTTGTGATTGACACAATGCACAGCATTAATATTTACTCGAAGCAGTTAATCCGTTTTGATGGTATAACGAAAACACGAAGTTGATCTGAAAAAATATTTGTTTCCACAAAACATTTCAAACTTGTCAGGAATTTTATTTGAAAATTAATAATGGTCAATTAAATGAGAGTTCAAATAAAATAAGTGATAATTGTAAATAAAGGAGAGAGAGAGAAAAGTAAGGAGGAACGAATAGGAAATCTATTAGTTGAATTCATGAGTCAATTACAGCTAGACCATCATGGAAAACCTGGAAGCACTGGCCAGCCGTTTCGCCCTAGTATAGGACTCCTCGGCAGTGCGCATCCACGACCGCGCTTGCTGGATTAGAACGCAGGACCTACCGGTCTCGCACGCAGAAGTTTAACCTCTAGATCACTGAGTTTATTACTCCTGCCTATGTATGTGTATTCATATAAACGTGTAAATTGGTAAATCCAATGGGATCCGGCGTAATTTGTCATGTAATGTCTAGATCATTTCAAATCATCTGCTTAGTCCGTTCAATCAAAACCAAGTTAGCGGCGTAAAATGTTTTTTCGATAGCCGCTTTCAATCTCTGTCTTCGGATATCACTGTTAGATTCTCCTCTAAAAGGTAAAGAAATATAAAAACACTCTTTGCAGCAGAATTAAAGGGGAGCGTTGGTGTTGAATGACTTTTCCATTTATTTGTAAACTTTGGTGGATAATCGTTTGATATAAGTATACCCGTTTGCGATTTTGCATCTTCTTCAAACATATCTGTAGTACATATTCTTGATTTTTATTAAGGAGGCACTTACCGAATCCCACATGTGTTGAGAAAGCCAGAAACTGTGGAAATTAAAATTTTGACCCGTTCAGGTTGACTTTCTATAAAGCTACCGCTTTACAGTTCAATCCTCCCTTCGACTCAAGAGTATATCTAAAAGGAGCAATTAGTTATTACTTTCTTTTTCATAGATTATTACGATATTATTCTGTACGCTATTGAGTTTATCTAATAATTGAGCAATATCGAAATCTTCATCATATATGATTAATACATCATTCATGTATCACCTATACGGAGTTATCTCTCTGATGAGCTTAATTATGATATTTTCAACATATAACAAATACACCAGCTAAGAGATGTTCCAAAGGGCTACACATAACAACACCATCAGCTTGTCAAAAATGTTCATCTTCAAACGTGGATTGAACTTTCGGAGCAAATAATAAAATTAGTTGTTTCAATTGTTGATTGAATAGTAAAAAGGGGGAAATTACTCCATACATGGTCACAAAGGAAATAACAGTCTTGGTTCGAGGTACATTCGTAAAAAGCGTGTTTATGTCAAAAGAATGCACAGTTTTTTTTTGTTGATATTAATGTCATAGGAAAGATCACTTAGTTGACGGATCGAGTTTAGCAATTTCATAACCATTTTGCTAGCACGATTGTAAGTGAACAACGTATAGTCAATATCGGTCGTAATGGATTATTAAGTTTATGAATTTTATGTAATCCATATAAATTCAGGAGCACAGAACAGGTAGGCTTCATTAATTTGAATTCCAATTTGTTTATGATATTCAGTTTAAGGAGCTTCATTAGATTGTAATTTACTCTGGATGTCAATAATCTAACATTAATATTAGATGAAACATCCACCAGGAACTCATCAGGTGTAGATAACTTTATTACCCTATAGTCACATTTATTCATAACAACCACGCCAAAACCTTTGTCAAGTTCAAAGATCACAATATCTGATCTAGCACAAGTCAAAATATGCCTGCGTCTGATTTACGAACCATAGAATTGGTTGGGAATAACAACTAATTTCGCTTATCTGGAGTTCTTAGAACCATAAAGTTCAATAGTGCGTAGAGATTTTCTATTTTACTATTGATCGAAAAATCAGAAATTTTAACATGAGTGAATGAGAGGCAAATTCTGAGAGATAGAGCTTTTTTCTTAAATAGAAGTGACATTAAAACGGCTTTTAAAACGTTGTATAGAAAATGTCAAGAACAAATTCTTGAGTTTATAGAAGCAATGACGAATCGTAAATTAAAAACTCCCTTATATGTACATAAACAATTTGTAGTAACATTGTATATATCTTTTTTTTACTTTTACTTACTTACTTACGCCTGTTACTCCTCGTGAAGGAGCATAGGCCGCTCACCAGCATTCTCCATCCGACCCTGTCCTGGGCAATCCTTTCCAGCTCTTTCCAGTCATTATTCATCCCTTTCATATCCGCTTCTATTTCCCGACGTAATGTGTTCTTTGGCCTTCCTCTTTTCCGCCTTCCTTCAGGATTCCAAGTTAGCGCTTGTCTCGTAATGCAGTTTGATGGTTTCCTCAATATATGTCCTATCCATTTCCATCGTCTTTTCCTAATTTCCTCCTCAGCTGGAAGCTGGTTGGTTCTCTCCCACAAAAGGCTGTTGCTGATGGTATCCGGCCAATGGATGTTGAGTATCTTGCGTAGAAAACTATTGATAAATACTTGTAACTTCTTGATGGTGGTTGTTGTAGTTCTCCAAGTTTCAACTCCGTACAGTAGAACTGCCTTGACGTTGATATTGGTTGAAAATTGTTTTGAGTTCCATAGGTTCTTTAATTGAAGGAATGCTGTCCTTGCTTTACTAATCCTCGCCTTTACGTCCGCATCTGAACCTCTTTGTTTGTCGACGATGCTTCCCAGGTATGTGAAGGATTTGTCTTAGTAAACCTTAAATCATTTTCTGGCCTATGATTATGTGACGACTTCCTATTCGTTCCATACGATGTTAATTTTCTCTCTCTTTTATTTACAATTATCACTTAGTTTATTTGAACTTTTATTTAATTGACTATTATTAATTTTCAAATAAAATGCCTCGACAAGTTTATATTTTTATCAATATTGGATTGTGTAGACGGTTAAGATTTTGATTGAGAACATGAATCGACTAATATTAGACCACCATTGAAAACCTGGAAGCACTGGACGGTCATTTCGTCCTAGAATCGGACTCCTCAGCAGTGTGCATCCACGATCTCGCTCGCTGGATTCGAGCCTAGGATCTTCGGTCTGGCGTGCGAACGCTTGCAAGGATGCTATTATTTGACCTCCATCGTCCCATGAATAGCTGCGCCACTATTCATCCATTGTCTGAGGTAGATACCGGTCTCTACCCGACACGGATTGAATGGAACTTAAACTTTAACGCCGTCCGATACCGACGCAGTGGTCTAGAGGTCAGGCGTTCGCGAGCTAGACTGAAGCTACGCGTTTCAAACCCGCGAGTGGGATCGTGGATGCACACTGCTGAGGAGTCTCATTCTAGGACGAAATGACCGTCTAGTGCTTCTAGGTTTTCAATGGTGGTCTAACATTAATCAATTCATGATCTCAATCAAAAAACGAATCTATATTTCATCAGATTGTTTGAAGTCTATGGCAGAGATACATCACTTTTTTTCAGGTCAACTCAGTTTTCTCATAGTGTAAATGTATTCTACATTGCAAACCATGTTGATTTTCTTTTACATAAAGCGTATTCATTAAAGACAGTGAACTACTAAATTCTTTGTCACAAAGACATTTACACAACGATATGATCATATACTGTGATTGGTTCTTACATCAGGTAAGATCGTGTCCAAACAACTAACTAAAGTTTATTCTACTAGCCATGTTTGTCAGTGTATTACATAGAAAAAACTATCAATAATTAGACACAGATTCATTATTTGTTGATAGGAAAAATGGTGAAGAGATTGGTGGTGAATTGGTACTTGGTGGTGTAAATCCTAAATATTTCAAAGGTGATTTTGAATATGTACCTACTATTCACAATTATATGTGGGAGATTCGAATGCTAAGGTAGTCAATTCTCACGTAATTTTAATTTGATGATCATGATATTTTCTAAACACCAATAGAAATTGAAAGAACATAGATTGGCAATTTGCTCAGTTACTTTCGTCTGCTATCCTTCGTGGGTCATAGACTGCCGATCAGAATTCTCCAAACAACTCTTTCTTTAGCTATCCTTTCCAGTTATTTCCACCTGTCATTCATTCTGTTGATATCTGCACTCAATTTTTTGTGCAATGTGTTGTTTGGTCAACCTCAAACAGAAGTGATTTAGTTTATACCAATTTGATTACCACTAACCACTTTGTCAGATTGGGATTGGATAAAAATCCAATAAGTGCATCCGTCATATGGACTAGTACTTTCAAGAGGACTACTTTTTATGAACGTGCGTCTTTTCAATCATACCAAATAAGTATTCATCAGAAACACTCATTCCTACTTTGAATTACTTAAGAATGTTGATCAGTTACTAATTTCACTAGAATTCATACGAAGAAAATCTTTCTTGATAACATTAACACATAATGTAATGTGTGAAAATGTGCAGTTTTGCTCAAACTGCGATTATGTTCAAGCTGTGATCATAATATTTTTGTTCACTACACTATCATTCTAAGGTACTGTAATTTGATTATGATTATTAAGTATCGGTAACAGATAGATGAATGTGAAATAGAATTCAAATAACTTTTGCTTTGAATGAGCGTAATGGAACATAATGCATAAACTAGGCTCAACAAATATTTCACTATTTTGGGGATGGGAAATAAACAGTGATTGAAATAAATAAGTCACTTGGATTACATTATGTATTTGAAATGTGAATCTCAGTTAGTGTGTTTGTACCAACAGTGAGACGCATCTAAATAATAGTTTCCGATCATGATGAAGTGAATGTCCAATGTTAGTTACTGTTCGATTGACGGTTTAAAAAGTATTCGCGTAATGTTGAACAATACTTTTGTTACATCCCAACGATATTATTGAATGGTAACCGTTCGGATCTATTTATGGACCAATACTATACATATATTTTTTATTGTATGATTGCTAAGTAGCTGAACTATGCACATTCATTCTCTTGAGATATGTCTAGTCTATTAATTGCAGTCTCCACATTCACAGCCACTTTTGGCTAGATCTTGTACAAATGTTATTTTCTATTATGTGGTGCGTTTGGCTTGTATATAAACCCAATATGTTTGAAGTACATGATTCATATCGCAGAGGCTGATATCGGTGTTCTGGACTGAACAGGAAGAGCTAGGCAGGAAGAAGGACATATAATGAGTCTAAACTGCTCGTACGGTTTACGTGTCATTGGTCCGGTCGATAATTCATATATTAATAGGGCACAAGGCAATAAGTTATAACGGTTTTTCCCAATAAAATCACCATATTTTATCTGATCCTTTTATTACTTCTTCAAGTTCATTATTTAACATACTTTTCCTCTTACAAATGTCACTGCAATCATTGTAATTCGAGATAGTTAATTGTTGAATGAAATATTTCAAGAACACACATCATGTTACATTCGTATATTTTTATCGAAAAATATGCATAATGAGACATTTCAACAACTTTAACATTATATACTAGGTAATTTAAATAAACCTTATTGATAAAAAATATTAGTAACCTAGTGTAATTTGTTTAACAAAGTGTTCCATTTAGAGAGACCCCACACTTACTGTGAATTATTCACATATAGATAAAACAGTTTTTATAAATATTTATAATAAAGTGTTTTCTATATACACTTAGTTTGCAAATAAATGGGATAAACTTTTGCAACATATGTTCTGCTGTTATTGACACTGGAACATCTTTAATTATTGGACCAATTGAACAAGTGAAAAGAATCAATTCTTTACTTCATGCTTCTGACCTTTTTGGAAGAAAAGTCCTTGACTGTGGTCGAATTGATATGCTTCCTTCGATTGAGTTCATATTTCATAGGAAAAAGTACATTCTGAAGCCAGAACACTATGTAGTGAAGGTGCATACAAGTAATTCATTTTGTCTTAAACAATGCTAGTCACTATACAAGTTATGAGATAGATATGTATGATACAGATATGTTTAGAATTGTTTGTTAAAATTATGAAGTTTCAGTCAGTTTGAAGTTGTAATAGGTAAGATTGTTTTGAAGAGGTACATCTCAATGAACAGGTCAACTCAATTCACATGAAACCTTTATATAAAATTATTGGTGTATTTCACAACCGCAATCACGCAATCTTTACTAAATTGTAGAGTTAGCGGTCGACATATTTATACCAACGTAAATTTTCACGCCCGTTCGTTAGCTGACTAACTCAGATGAACGAATTACACTATCATAATATTTCTTTGTTAGGACACATGTAGAGGTAATTTCTTAAAAATACAGTTATGTATGGAAATTAACGAAAATGTTAAACCGATTTTAATAGTAGCGTAGTCAATAAGAACACAAGTGGGGGCAATCGAATGTATTTGAATATAAATTTACAGAACATTTTAATTAATTCTGAGAACCATACAGTTAATAATTCATTTGCGAAATATCAGTCAATTGTCTCACACTTCATTGTTTCTTCATTTCCACACCAATCATTCTCTGTTCTCGTTCTCTTTTATTTGATCTTCTCAACCTTCTACTGCCAGGTATTTCACTTTCGATTGATGATGCATACTAATTATATCTGTCGACATCAGTAGCACACACCTCAATTGTACTTAAACCATTAGTGGGATAAGCTCGTCAACAATTACTGTGAATAGAAAATTAAAACATAGAATTTTATATGCATTGTATAAAATATTCGTATTAAGAAAATTTGGGAGTAAAGAATGAGCTGAATGGACTACATCATTTTTAATTTTTGGTAAGCTGAGAGTGAGGAAGATTTTGTTACAAATAGCTGTTTTATATAAAGTATATATGATGAAAAGCGATTCACTGCATGCATAACTAACTTAATGCAATCATTTTAAGAATTATTAAATACGAAGTTTAAACTGATGTCAACATAATCCATGTGAAGTAATTCTGAAGAATGACAATCTCAGAGAAAACATCAATAATTAGTTTCTTATTGAGTGACATAGATTACAGCATGTAATCGACAAATGACCAAATAAAAAAATGATTGCTAATATTTGAATAATATTTCAGACGGCCACTATTTAAACCAACAAGATGGAAACAATTTGCTTCCATACTCATGTATTTTTTGTTCAATTACAGGAGACCTTATTATTTCAAACAATTTGTTTGTCACCTTTTCAATCTCGTCTTTCGTCGCCTCCTAACTGTTGGGTTCTTGGTGACGTATTTATGGGGAAATTCTATACTGTATTCGATTTCGGTCAGCAAAGAATTGGACTGGCTGATGCTGTGGGAGCATAGAGATGGTTTCATCGACGAAAACAAAGTTGTATGCAATAAAAAGAGAAATAAATAAAAAAATTGTATCTTGGAAATAATTAAGGAATGTGTGTCAATAAGCACACATTATGAGGTTGGTGTAAGAAGAAAATGTACATATCACGACTAATTGTTTCATAAGATGTTACTTATGAATTGTCTTGATAGGAGATTTTCGTTACAAGGATTATAATAATTTGAGGTAGCAGTGGGGAACCAGTAATTTTCGATAGGGGGATTGCGACATCCTACTGAAGTATAAATAGTGTATCGAGGTGCGATTCTAGTGAAATTACAGATTATTCGTAATCATTCACAACTAGTGAAGAAAAAAGAGAAACAATGAACACAGAATAACAACAGAAATAATTAGTGTGATAGACCTGATGTTACTCACGTGTTGTTGTTTTATGACCTACTGATTCAATTAGATTTTATTAAGAATAATCTGGTCAACTGCGGAGGGAGGTTTAGTAAACATGTTGAGTAAAAATAATGACTAAGCACTGTATGTTCTTAAAATTTCATCGGTGGAAGAAACGTAGTTACATGTTTGATTATTTTTAAAGGGAGGATAGAGCTAGAGGTAATGATAAATCGAAAAATAGTCGTATCGATTTTACTTCATTCACAGATTAACAAATTATTCAAAAGTTTCGGAAACTTATAAGTAATTCATAAGAAGAGTAAGGATGAGACGGTTTTATTTTTGGTAAAGTTATGCATGTTAAAATTAAGGAGATCTACTTACTTCATAGCACCAATGTAGGCAAACAATGGTTTATTTATTATTGTGAAGGCAAAAAGAAGGTTTATCTTGACTCTTCACTTTCATAAAGTGTTGGGTTCAAGTACACTGGATGTGAAGTTGTAGTTTATGGTAGAACCATCCCTAGGGATGCATAGTGTTAATTACCGCAGGATTTATTTCAATCTATGTTTATGATTAATGCTAACGCTATTCAGAATAAAAGTGCATTATTCCAGACGTGGTCGAGTACATATTTCGCGGATTATATACTCTGTTACGAATAGGTTGTTAGAGATGACCTAATCAATATCTTGTATTCTTATACATGTCTCAAATTGAAAATTTGTATAGATTCACATAATTCTTTCACTTTTTGTTTTTTTCGTTTTTGCAAAAGAAACTTGTTGAAAGACCTCGAGCTGTGAATTCCATATTCTACCAAAAATATAATACTGAATAAAGCCACTAATAATAATAAAATAATCTCAGCGATTGAAACTTAAATAATTCCAACGTTACGTCCAGTAAACTTGTCTGAACCTCTTCAGGGTAATAATCAAAATCAAAATTATCAAAGAATATATAATGTTTGACAATCAAATCAAAACTTTATTGTGCTTATCCAATCATATTTAGATGTTGATTTTAGGAAGAAGGATAACATGAATAAGTTATATGCGGATTATCTGAAAAGTTCACAATCTGAAGATAATTGAATGAATTGTTTGTTTGTGTATGCTTAGGTTTCATGTTTTGACACATAAAATAAAAATTGACAGCAGAAGCACTGGGTTAATAAGAGCTAATAAGAGTTCTAGCGAGTAGTCGTGACAAGTAGAGTTAATCCAAGCCAGATAGAGCACAGGTATCTACCTCAGTATAATGGAAGATAGTGGCGCGATTTTGTAGGTTGGTTGAAGTTAGACAATAACACCGCTGGATGCCCGCTCAGTGATCTAGAGGTTAAATGTTCATGTGCTAGACTGAAGGACACGGGTTCGAGTTTCGCGGGTTGGATCGTGGATGCGCACTACTGAGACGAAACGGCCGTCCAGTGCCTCCAAGTTTATAATTGTAGTCTGAAATTAATTAATGATCTCAATCAAAATCGAACAAGAAAAGTCTGAAAAAAAACGGTATTCAACTAGCTACCACATGGCAAATGTTCATTCAGAAGTAATCGGACTCTTTCCCTATCCAACCTGTTTATTTCACATGCATCGTTATTCTGACAGAAATTAATCTGGATTATTTTAGCAATACAATTGTTCGCACTTTACATGCACATTCACTACTCAGAAAAAACCTCAACCTTCAACTTGCACTTTTATTTCTGCTTTATATGAAAACAAACTAACACCAAATATTAACTATTAATAACTCAATCTTACACATTCAATACACATACAATTCATTCAGTCATTTATTTTCATTTTGTGAACATTTCACACGATCCTCATATAACTGATTCATGTTATCCTACTTACTACAGTCAACATCTGAATACGACTGCAATAGCACAGTATAGACTTGATTTGATTGTTTAACATTGTACATTTGGTTATTACCTTGAAGAGGTTCAGACAAGTTTGTTGGACGAAACTTTGGAATTATTTTAAATCGCAATCGCTGAAGTTATTTCAAATATACTTTTCACACATAATATCAAGGTGTATGTTTGTGAAAAAGAAATAACGGCTGTGTTTGCGTTCAGGTTATCAGAAAAGGACGATGTTGGTGTAAACATCTGATGGTGAGTGTCAATCTAGTAATAAGGTTTAATGACTAGTTATTCACTAAAACTGAACAAGACAATCAAATGTAAATCTGAAGTTTATTTGACATTATGGAACCCAGGTTGATATTTCAATCACGATTTTAGTTTGAAAGACAGAAGTATTCAAACGGTCTTCGTTCGTGTTTAGTTTTAATGTTGAATGTGTTAAGGTGAATTCGTGACTTCCCGATACGTGGCTTAGTGCTTATTCTTTCAGCAAACGATCTCTAAAGTGAAGAAAAAATGTTTAACCCAGCTAGTGAAATGAAAATATTAGAGTAATATAGAATAAAACAAAATGACGAGGAATAAAAATAGTCTTTATCGGTCTGAATAGATAATGCACGAATATGTTTAGGCATCTAGATATATTTTGATCCAACCGTTGTTGGATACTGTACACTGATTGTCTGTTATGTGACTTAAATTTTCTGAAAGGCAAAGTAAACATCAGTCAAAGAGCAACTTCAAATTATTTATCAAAATCACGAAATTATAGACCGAATTCAAAATAATATTATAGTGAACAAGAACACAAGTGGGGACAATCGAATGTATTAGAACATAAAATTATAGAACATGTTAGTAAAATCTGAGAACCATACAATAAATACTTCATTTGCAAAATATCAGTCAATCGTCTCAGACTTCATTTTTCCTTCATTTCCACACCAATCATTCTCTGTCATCGTTCCTTGTTAGAAATAACCCGTAAATTACCATACCTAAGAGTTAATTTGAACTTATCATCATATATTTACTAATTAGTTACAATCAACGTATAATAGGTGTTTAGCATTTTTTATTAGTAATATAGAAAAACATGTAACTAGAAAAGTAAGCCTAGTTAATTGGGTATTCACAAATAGAATTGTGTAGTAAAAGTTGAAGAATGTAATAAATATTTTATACCGAATTGGTATCAGTATATAAAATACAATTAAATAGAAATGCTCTTATCAACAACATCTGTTAGTAAACCAGTGATTAATACTACTCGACAATAAAGAAATACATTAAATAAACATTGAGAAAGGTAACTTAAGTGTCATTTATTTCAACGGTATTGAAATAAAAATATATATTGAAAATTTTGTAAAATGTAAATTAGAACTAAGTCAAAATCATAATTTTTATACTTAGTAGATAAAAATGTTCCTGTTTAGGTGGTTTCACAAGTTTTGAGGCTAAAGTAATACGTTGTAGTGTATTAAACCTGAGGGAGAAAATTTAAATAACACTGGGCTAAACGTGAGGCGGGATTGTGGATGCGCGCTGCTGAGGAGTCCCATATTAGAACGAAACGGCCGTCCAGTGCTTACAGGTTTTCCATTGTGGTCTAGCTTCAATTGATTTATAAATTCAACTATTCAACTATAATATTCACAAAACCCATTCCTAATTTTAAATGATTATTGAAAATATTCATCCAGTTGAAGTTAAGACATGAATAAAAAGTAGATTAATTCATAAGAAAAAACTAAACAAGATTTTGATACATCATAAATGTTTCTGTCATATACTAATATACTAATATATTAATAGCAACTCTCCTACAATCCATTTCGATTAAGGTTCAATTTGGTCAAGCCCTTTTATTAACTTATTTAACAGACAATGTTATTCAAACAGTAATAATTCGCATATTTTTTTGTACTATTATGATCACGTGTGACAGCCTACGCACATATCTCTATCTAACTTAAATGTTGATAGCTTAAGTATCGCTCGATGAACCATTCTCTTTACGACGTATATATGTACTCAAATCCTATTTATAGCCTTTGCCTTACTGTGCTCTTATGCGATTTGACTATAAATTCGCCTCTGTATTCTCTTGCACACACAACATTCGCCTCGGCTTTATATCCGCTCGATAGGCTTGTAGCTTTGTCATCCGTACTATCCTCTAATAAACTGTAGTCGCAGATTCATATTGACTTCCGATTTCAAATGCCGTTGGGATTTATAATAATAACGGTTATCATGGTGATTGATAAGCGAAGCGAAGCCATTACAATCTACCAAGGTTTTTACTGAAATAGAGTGGATTCCACTAGAAGTGAAGTTTAAATAAATGTCTATAGAATTCATGTGGACTACTGTTTTAACTAACATAAAAAGTTAGTAAACATGATCCATATACTTTCATACTGACGATTAAGTTACACCATTCAATAAACGTGGAGGCGAATGATAGATGAATTTATTAACTATTTAAACTTTCATTCTTTCAAGAGTTATTATTTCAACCAATGAGAACAAAACCACTTACTTTTATTATTTTTATCTTCTGTGTTCGATTACAGAATTTCAGGTGGTTCGGAACACTATGTACATCACCATTTGAATTCGATGATTATTATATCCTTGATAATGTTTTTATGGGAAGATTCTATACTACATTTGATTTAGGTCAGGAACGTATCAGATTGATTTATATTTCAAATCACACGAATTAACAGAACAAAGCAAGCGCAAATCGCATACACTAAGAATGGAGAATTTATGTTGTGTAAAATAATTGACTGTGCTTAAAATCTTATTTGTACATGCAATACATCACGAACTCATGCTAACTCTGAACAAATGATATTTTGAAATGTTACATAGGATATGTTGTATTAGCTATTTTCATTTAAACTACTAACGTATTAAAAGCACGAATCAACTTGTTACATACTGCCTTAACTGTGTTTTGGTGTCTTACAACTTATCATAACTACAAATTTAAGACCAGAAGTTTCTTGTCTATAAAAATGTTAACCTTATATTATATATTTATGAGTTAGTTACTAATATTTTCAGTAAAAGGTTAAACTTAATAGTTGATATTTTGTTTGTTTGAATGATAAATTACAACCAATAGTTCCAACAACTAATGAACAGCGATTCCTGTCCAGCTAATCATATATAATAGAACATTGACTGTATAATCAGTTACTAACGTTGCTTCAGCTTTCATTTAAGAGAAGAATGAGACGTTTGTTCTTATGGCAGAACTAAAAATAATAACAAATGAATGTTTACAAGTTGTTTGTAATTTATATATCCAAACATTACGGGAGTTTGTCATGCATCGTTTTGTTATTTGTTCATAGCCATACCCAGAATATAGAGGACACCTCGAAACTAGATTAACCCCTCCAGTAAAGCCTACTTAATTAAATTTTATTGGTTGAGACACTGTTATTACTCAGTAACCTGGGAAAAAGAACTATAATAAAGATTGTAACCAAGGGGTCTGAGGAAGAAGTGGATTCATTTGGTTGCTCTATTCACATACGACTCTTGGGTAAGCTTGTGAACGTTCATATCAGGAGCAGTGAACTCAAAATAAAAGTTTTGTTTACCTCAACTAGATTTAGTAAAGAATACTATATCAATATTCTTCATGAGTAACACATATTTCGGAACACACAAAGCTCAAGAAAATATGAAATATGTAGTACGAAAGAATTGAATATAATTTTTTGTACCGAT